GTCAGCGGTGGAACAACTTCATAGATTGTACCAAAACATTCATCTCATCCGAATGTACTTTGAACCCACAACATTCCTCCAAAGGTGTTATTATTTCATCAAACATAGTTTGAATGTACAATACCACTCTACAGGTATTAATATACTATTTACGATATCACTTGATAGATTTTATTTTACGATATCCTTTGACTGTTTATCGATGTCAACTATCATAAGTCTCTTTATCACTTCGAAAATTTGCTTATCAATTCTAATACGGAAACTCTTAGAAATTGAAATACATAAAATTTCCTCTTCTAAACCATGGTCGGTAACATACCTTAGACTTTCTTAAATAATAGCAATATAGGTAAGTAACCTAAGGCATGCTATATTCATTTATCATTTAGCACATATTAGAATATAAGACATATATCCTCTTAATATTCTAGTGCTTGTGTCCATTTATGTATTAAACCTAAAATATACTAGATACACATCGTATCATCATTACTTAACAATTTAAGTTTAAGCCTAGAAATCCTTACCATTTCTAGTTAGATTAAACTAATGCTCTAAAAATTTTGAAGCAACTTAGTACTTTTAAAATATTAAGATTTATCATTATCTAATACTCTCCTTAATTATTTCCTATGGTTTGTATCCATATACTCCTAATGAATCCGTTCATATATTGAACTTCTGACGGTTTAAGTTTAAATACCATTCCATGGAATTTAGTTCACTTAAACTACTGCTCTGATACCATGATTGAAAGACCCATAGTTGTATTATGTGTTGTGTTGTATGTAATATTTTTGGGGAACTCACTAAGCTTTGTGCTTACAGTTGTTGATTAAATGTGTTTCAGGTGATTCTGAAGATTGTTGGAAGGCAAATGCTTGATTGTACACGTTCGCTAGGAGATTATGTTACTGGATATTTTTGGGACACTCTAATATTTTGATGTATAATTGTATTTGACATTATGACTTTTCTTGGGATGGTTTATGAAAACTATTTTTATATGGATTTAAAAATAAAAATTTTGGTTTGAAAAATTCGACGTTACATATACTATGTCTAATTTTGAAGAAACATTCGGTTGACTATGCGGCTGCCGCATGTGAGTGACTTGCCAAAATCGGTAATGTGAAATGGGTAAGATCCTATTTCCCTAACACCCCGTTGGAATGTACTCAACGTTGATTTTTTAGAATGCATACAAATGTTACTGGTTCATCAACATACGGTGCAAAGTAGAAGTGTCTACATGACTTTGAAACAATTTCATGTATGTCTCAATTAGGCAAAACACAATATCAAACATTTACACTCGTTCTTCTATTGTTGCTCTTGTCCTACGTGCTTCCTCGATGACGTCCATTGTGCTCACAAACAGACGTATATCTTCAGAATTTGTATGAGGAACATTTGCATATTATACAATGCTACTTTTCTATGCTCCTTGGCCACAAAAAGCAGTTATGGGATTTTCAGTATTATCATTCGCTCATTCGCACGTTGAAAATATCGGATCATATCTAACGTTATGGTATCAACAATACCTCGTTAGTTGTCCTCGAGCCGTAGCAGTTCATATTTTATTAGTATCGCATCCTCATCATTCGACTCGCTAGATGTCGGAGATTGTGATTAAAAAAATACAAAGGTATTATAAAAGTGAAATGCCTCCAAACATTATAAAATATATTCATAACAAAAATTATAAAATGGCAACTAGTCTACAAAAAAATCCAACCAAAAACTAATGTTTACTTTTAGTATCATAAAAAAAATATTTATAATCATATTTTTTAATTAAGAGTCACCTTTATAGAGACCAATTCTGAAAGCACTTGTAGATAGTATATCATTTGTCGTCCGTAAAATTCATTTTTTTAGCAACATCCATACTATTTGATTAAGGGCATCTTCGAACACACTAGTTCTTATTTTAGGGCTAATTCATAGGTATTGGTTTAATACAAATCAATATTACTTCTTTAATTTAACAATATCATAAACAAAAAGAAAAATGATTTTGAAGAGACGTTTCAGATAAGTTCTTCATATTCCAAACAATCTTTATTAGCTCTAAGGATTTTTAGAAACTTATTTCACATACCATAACCATATTCAATAGGTAATCTATACTTATTTCCTCTTTATGGAGTGGTACTAACAATTTTAAGATACTTATATGGTCATGATGACTAAGATTAACAATAAATCAACATACAATATGCCATTCCGAACACATTCTACACATCTAATGTCGAAAAAATCGTTTAAAAACTTAAATGTAAGTACATGAATCAGTAGAACTAATCTGGTTTGTTGATTCCATGATATAAAAAAAACTTTTGATATTTTGGTTGCAAAAAACTTGGAATGAGCACTATCCGAAATGGTATATCTAGTATGTCAATGTGTGGGACACACACACACACACATATATATATCACACACACACACACACACACACACACACACACACACACATATATATATATATATATATATATATATATATATATATATATATATATATATATATATATATATATATGTGTGTGTGTGTGTATGTGTACAATCAAACTATAACATTAGAGCTTAAGGGTTGTTTGACAGGATCTGAATTTATAAGAGCTGAATTTTTAAGAGGTCTGAATTTCTAAGAGACTCTGAATTTTTAAGATCTGAATTTTCAAATGTCGTTTGGTTGGAACCTCTGAATTGCAGTGCTGAATTATAAAAATGACCATTTTACGCTTCTATGTTATTTTTGCTAAATTTAACGTTTTTATAAAATAACCGAATCAACTTCTTGAATAACTATAATAAAATTTACAAACACCATATAAAATCCAGATTAAACATAAATCCAAATCAAACATAACACTATCATTTCTTGATTATACCCAAAACTCATGCTTTCGTTGCTTTGTGAAATCTTTTAGAACCTCCATCCATAACAAATCTAATGTTAATGAACTCCCTACGCTTGTGGGTATGAAATATCGTCCACTAATAGGCACCACATGTTCAATATATAACATTGTACTTTCATTTAGTGAGCCCATAACATGCTAATATTCTTATTTCATTAAGCAAAAACATGTCATACAAGAAACATATAAAAAGAAAAATATATAACCGAATTAAGTATCTACAATCCACCCAATTTGTTGTATATCTGTACAACATTCCACAAGTCATAACTAAAAAGTTTATGCAATCAAAGGCATAAAAAAAACTTTCTTTGGTGTGCTTACCTTTACTGGAATCAAATGATTGAACTGAAAATAGAGATATCAAGCACCAATTCCCATTTTTCCTAATTCCCATTTCTCTGTCTGTATTCAGTCTCATAAATTTGCAATCATTTTAAAGGTGATCCACAATTCTTATTTGTGGAATCTCAACCAAAATTCTCATACATCAGAAACGAAATTGAATGTCCCTCAAGAAGGAGAAAATGCTTATGGGAATAGAATCAATAAAATCACAAACCCAGTTTGTTCTCTATGAGATTCATGACAATATGTGATTTTTTTAACACATTCCATTGGGATCAGAAGGAGAAAAAATGTTACGGATAGCTGTTATTGATGAATTTGAGAGAGCTAGAGGGCGGCGCTCCCAATGGCGTTGGCGGAGGTGGCATCGCAGGACGAGGCGGTGGCCGCCTGGTGGTGAAGGGGTTGGCGGATGGTTGCAGACCGGAGATGCAGTGCGAGGGAGAAAGGAGGTGTCATGTGAAATAGGAATAGAAAGCGTGAGAGAATGAGAAACGTCTGATGTCGTCGGAGATAGCGGCGCAAGAGGTGGCGGTTGCTGGCTGATGTTGGACGGGATAATAGAGCTCGCACGATCGAAGATGCCAGGAAGGATGAGTCGGCGTTTGCGAAATAAAGAGAAGGGGGAAACGAGTCGATTACTAGGGTAAAATAGAAAGAGGCGTTATTTTTTTCTTTTCAAATGGGCTGTCTGATTCGGTAAGTGATAAAATTTAGATTAAGAACACAAAATAAGAGGTAAACCAACAGTCTGAATCTTACAGACCTACCCCTTATCAAGTGGTATTAAGATGCAAACAAACTAGGACTTAATCTTTTTTTGCCTACTTCATAATGCATATTCTAAATATTATTTTTTTAGGTTATTGTCACTGTAGCCTAACAATGTTTAGTATATTGGTTTAAATAGTCCGTATGATTTTTTTTTACCTTTGAAGGGTACGAACTTGTGTTTTACCGGTTAATTTGGTATCTTTACCTATTTTTGAAGGTTTCAGTGCCTTGTCAATTGCTAACTAGGCAGGTTAGTCAACAATGACCCAATGGTGAGTCGACTCATTGTTGCCATGTAAGCCAAAACCTAATTGCCACGAAGATAGAACTAATCCATCAGTTTACATCGGGACGTAAGGGCTTACGAATAGTAACAACGGAGCTTCTTCTTCGTCATTAACTCCATTTAGTTCTCCTATGTTCTAATTCCAAAGCTAGAATCCTGGAAAGCGTATGTGAGATTTTTGATGTGGTGGTGGGTGTAAACAGAGAGAAGGGGGTGGCTGAGAAGACAATGGTGGAGCGAACATTAGGGCCACCGCCCTCGATTTCGGTATTCATAGACTTTATTCTTCTTCCCTTAAATCATATTACTTGCATATTGATTAAGTAATGGAAGTTTATGTAATGCAATTGATGGTTGAAGATATGCCATGGCTCGATCTTCGAGCTCGAGATCACCATAGATTTGAGCAGAATTCAGCAATGATTCCTATATTTCAAATGTAGGTTTAAAAGGAATGTTTTTGATGAACTCAAAAGATTCGTTTAGATGCCCATATTTCCCCAAAACATCAATAACCCCTAAATAATGATCAATTTTTGGATCTAGATTGTAGTCGTTCTTCATTGATTTGAAGTGTTTGAAGCATTCTTGAATCGAATTAACACTGGCACATGCTAAAAAAAGTAATCAGAAAGTATCCTTATTTAGAGTTAACCCCAACTCTTTCATTTGTTCGTATAACAACAAACCTGCATTGGGTTCCCCGTTATCTGTGTAGCCCTTTCTCATTGAATGCCATAAGCTTAACGTCTCGTTCACGCATTCTGTCGAACACCCTGCGTGCATCCCTCATAACGTTGTATTTTATGTATAATGTTATCAATTTAGAGTTCAAATTCACAAAACCATAATAGGGAGATTGAATAAGAAGCTACTGAACCTTCTTCCGCAGTTCAAGATCGTCACACGAATCCCAACAAGGTCGAAAACATCAGATCCTGCAGGCACACCTTGAGACATTAACTCAATTATTTCTTTAGTCGACTTATTTTTCCATAGCGCCATTAAATCCACATCCGGTGGTAGAGATGGGTTGGTGCCTTGTCGTGTTTTAGGAAGAGTTGGTGGTTTTGTGGATGTGTTGAGTCGTAGATTGGTGTTCGATTCTACCAGAGTCAACATCAATGCCACCGTCGGAACCGAAGAAGACAGCGTTGGAGCTAGAGAAGACAACATCAGAAGACAATAAGGGATTTGATCAAATTCGGGTTCTACAGAAAGCATTACATTAGGTGTTATACATGGCAATTGAGTTGGCATCTAAATCTGCTGATTAGGATGAGTGTCACCGGGAGAACCAATATACTAAAGTTTGTTGGGCTACAATGACAATAACCCTTATTTTTTTCAAATGGTTATTTTATAAAGGAAGAATTTCATATATGTCTTTCTTAAACATCAAAATATCATATTTGTCAAGTTTAATTTCTTAATATCATATTTACCATTCATAAATATTTACAATATCATATTTGTCCAAAACTTTTTTGCAATGTTTTTAACTGTTTATAATAATTTTTATATATTATAATTATTTAATAGTTAAAATATTTTAACATATTATTTCTACATCTATAATAATTGAACGTCTATTTCTATATTGTTAGAATGTCAGCCCACAAAAAATTTCCTCTTCAGCTCTCTTCCATGAAATGTATGTATTGATTGTTTAATTTTTATTGTTGTTGATTATTTTCATGTTGTAGATAAATGATATGTTAAATATTAACATTGATTTTGATGCTTAAGAATAGTATATAGGATTTAAAATTGATATTTTGATATTTAAGAAAGATATATACGAAATTTTGAAAGTATATAAATGATAAATACGATATTTAAAAATTAAGTTACCAAATATTTTGATGTTTAATAATATATATATATATATATATATATATATATATATATATATATATATATATATATATATATATATATATAGAGAGAGAGAGAGAGAGAGAGGTGAGTTCAATTGAGAAAATAAAAAATGTTGAGAATGGGGGAATCATTCTCAGTCACTCATTTAATTAGCCTCTAAACATAAAGGATACGGTGGCAAACTTTTAAATATGATATAATAGCCTTCAATCACAAATACGTAAGTGTAGAGAATTAGATAACAGTTGAAATTCATTCGTTTTTTGCTCTTTCAATCCAACCTTCAATTCTGCTTGAATACGAACATATCTTCAACATCTACGATTAATTATCTCTCAACATCATTAGAACAACATCATCGATAATCAACAAAAAATTCAATTTGTATCATTCATTCAACATCGTTCATCAAATAAAACATCGAAATTAAGGTTAGAAAAAGATCAAATCATTTTTTGTTTGAAAATTTTCATATATTTCTCTACCAATCTACTATTTTGTAAGATTTAAATAGTCAAAGTATCATATTTATCACATTTCTAAAAAAGTTAACTTGTATGCACTCCAACTGTTTGATGAAATGCATACACTAAATTACCATGTTATATTCACATATGAATATGTTTTCTCACCTGAATCAATATGTGATTATTAAAACACAAAACAAATATACAAGTCTGTATGTTATTCTTATGTGAATAACATATAAAAATTATATATATTTCTGAAAACACCTTGTAATATTCATATATGAATATATTGTGCAATATTCACATATGAATATACCAACTGTTATTCATAAGTGAATATACGATCTAATATTCACAAGTGAATATACTATGTACTATTCTCATGTGATATACCATGTAATACTATATAATATTCACATATGAAAATATCATCTAATATTCATAAGTGAATATACCATATAACATTTACAAGTGAATATATTATGTAATATTCACAAGTGAATGCATCATCTAATATTTAAATATGAATATATTATGTTTACTATATGCTATATTCATAGATGAATGATACTTAAATTGTAAAAAAAATTAATCATAGTTTTTATTCATAAGTGAATAACGAATATACTGTTGTAAAACCTGATTAATTTTTATTCACTTATGAATAATGATAGCTGAAAATATAATATATAATATATATATATATATATATATATATATATATATATATATATATATATATATATATAATCTTAAAACTATATCAATATAGATATCTATTTGTATAGAATAAAAAATCATTAATTTTTGTATATTTAAAATCATTTTTCGATAAAAATAGCTTCTTAAAAATAAAATAAAAAACAAAAAAACTATGTTTTTGTATATATTAAGGTAATACTTAGCATAGTTTAAGGAAACATGTTTTGTTGGAAAACACATGTGCATTCATTTACTATTTCCACCGGTACGTTGGAGGCTTTTGCGACAAAAATAAATGATTGGCTGAGAATGATTCCCTCATTCTCAACCTTTTTTTTTCAATTGAACCCTCATATATATATACATATATATATATATACACACACACACACACACACACACACATATATATATATATATATATATATATATATATATATATATATATATATATATATATATATATATAGGGTTGGGATCAAATGTGAATCATAAATATTGTGTGAATGTGTGACCAAATTCTGATCATTAGATTAAAAGAATAAAACGTTGTGATCTTTAAGTACATGTTATTAACATAGAATAGCATGTATTGTATAATTATACTTAAAGAATACAATTTGTTGACATGTAATATTATTAAAGAATACATCATATATATTAGACAATAACACATCATTTTTTAAGAAAAATATATTACACTATAATCAAGAATGTATACTAGCGAACTAACAACCATTTTATAACAGAAAACAATAATATATACAACATTTGTAAAGAATATACACAACCTTCTATACTACATTCTTTAAGATTTTATAATATTTTCGAAGAATAGAAAAAAAAATATAATAAATATTGTATTCTTGAATTATTTGTCATCATTCTTGAAGAATATGTTTTTGTATTTATGGGTTTCCGACACATCAAATATCATTGCTAATGCTACATAAATACCTGAAAAACAAACAAGCAAATTAGTTAAAAAAAAACATATCACTAGTTATTAAAAAATCATAATGAAAACATATGATTTTTCTTTATTTCATCCACTGTCTATATGGTTAATTTAAATAATTTTGGTATTTACATTAATACCTTCAAAGTATTAGTCTGTACATATGGCTAAGAAAGTAATTCAACCAACAAAAAAAAACTGACAGACGCTGGAAAAAAAATTTGCTCATTACACATGACTATGTATTCCTTCGATATATCTTCTAAAAAAACGAATGAATTAAACCCCTCATATCTAATTTTTCATCAAATCCATGGGAAAACCATATAAATAAATAAGAGTACTCAAAGGAACTCTTTTACCAACATAATCGTATTAGTCTTGAAAAATTACATAAATCAAAATTATAATAAAAAAACTTACCTGATGTTTTGTTTTTAGCGATTCAAATACAAAAAATCAACAATAAAAATCAGAAAACACAAACTCGGCAACTCAATTTTTTCAAAAGGCAACAAATCGAAATGTTTTTTGGAAATCGGATAAAGAAATTACCAAATCGAAATGAGAAATCTGCAACTACATTTAAAAACTATCTTCCAGTGAGAACACTTCAAGAATGAAAAAGCTAAACATTTACTATAAATCTTTCTCAGTTCAGTAAGTTTGAAGTCAAGTGAATCATCTAGGCGCAAGCTAAATAGGAAAATGCCATAAACTTCATAAGATGTGGTTATTTTTGTAATGCAATCTAAAAAAAAAAAAAAAAAAAGGAAGAGGAAGATGCCTGATGAATATGGGTTTTATGAGCGAGAATGGCATAGCCCTAATTTTGTATTGATGAGTAATTACCTTAAAAAATCAGTTCCAATTTGTAGAAATTAGAAGTGTATGTGGCTGCCTAAGTGAGAAGAACATCATCATCTTCACTTCCGACCACCACCACCAGCGTCAGCGGCAACTTTAATGCACCACGACCACTGCAAATAAAATATATTCGTTGGTGCCTTCTTTTCTTGCTACTGTCTTCCCTTTTTATCGTTCCTCTTCTTTAATTTCTATTCACGAACGAACGCCACACAAAAAGTGTGTATATGTGTGTGGTTTTCCCTTGATCGGACTACACATTGCATTCACCTCTATGATTTGGTGAAGAATGTTGTGTAGGGTTCTAAGTGAATTAACATATACTAGTCCTACTTCTATAATTATTGGCTGTTAATTAATGTTATTTATTTAATTGATTACTAATTTACCATTTTTGAAACGAGTGGTTCACAATTAGTCATATAATCACACAATATTTATACATTATACATGAACCTAATTCTCTCTCTCTCTCTCTCTCTCTATATATATATATATATATATATATATATATATATATATATTTACTATCTTATAAAAGAAATCTAACTATTTCTAAAAATAGATTGATTATAATAATAATATTTTTTAAAACGTCCAAATGATAAAACTGATAGTACAAGTAACCATTAATAAAATAATATTAAATTTTAACCACATTTTGAATTCAAAAATTTATCATCAAATCTCCTTATATTTCTCAGCAATTTGATATGATTCCCTCAAATCCCGGATTCATTCAAATTTTGAACCCTTTTAGATATCCTTAAATTTAGCATGCTGATTCAAATAACCCTCCAATCGTATATACCTCTTTGTTCCCTCATCTGCTATAAAGCCCACCGTCCAGGAACAAAAAATGACTTCATCTCCCAAATAACATCATAGTTTGATTATTTTATCTTCGACATGTACTTTCTTTTGTAATATAACATTTTTGTAGAGGAAACATCACCGAAAGAATTTACACGTCCCGCCGCTTTGCGCGGGTACACTGTTAGTATATATATATATATATATATATATATATATATATATATATATATATATATATATATATATATATATATATATATATATATAGGGTTAGAATTAAATGTGAATTGTAATTATTGTGTGATTGTGTGACTTAACAAGAACCGTAGGATTAGAAAATCTTGATGGCCAAAATGGTTATTGACATTATTGTAATATTTAATAAAATCTTTAATTAGTTTACACGTAAAACCATTAATGATGCATTCTTCACATTTCCCTTATATTCAAATAAGGAAAAGGCTGCTTATCATGGATACGTGATTATATTTTCCCTATCAATATTGTCAGAACTAAAATACCATAATCCAACATCATTCTACAACTATTTCTAAGATTCCTCAAGAATTATAATTGAGGATTTGATTAGAAATTGCACACTCCAAAATTGAAGCACGGTTCCGACGACTAAAATCAAGAAATCATTAGTGTATAATAAAAATGAAAATCCAGAGATCGAGCTCTATACGAGACAACTTTAAATCGAAGTTCAACAACATTGCAGATTCATCGTAACAGTGAACGATGATGATTTCTAGATTCTCCTAAAGGTTTATTTTTCTCTTCTTCTTAAAGAATGTGATTATGACTCATATAATCGACTAGGTTTTCGTTATTTTCAATTGAATGTCAATTTTATAGAATAAACTTCAAGGAAAGGATCCCATTCTTTCATAATAATGATTTTTAAAACCTGAAATGTGGAGAATTTGAACGGCTTTATTCGTTAATAAAGCCGTCAAAAGCAATTAAATTTGGCATATTCCGAATGTTTTTTATTCTATAATAATTAGGTGGATTTATTCTTTATAACACATACTACATAACATCTCATTCTTTAATACTATTGCTTAAATTTTTAGTAAGTTTGTATTGTATTGTAAAATAATCCAAGTTGTATGTTTGTTGGTGATGCGTTGTTTGTGGATTTTCTTTTCCTATGTGTTTGTTTAACACAACTAACAAATTAAAAAAAAATAGCGAATTAAGCCTAGCAAAATTCTTTAAGAATAAGGTTGTTGTGATTAATGTTTAAGATTAAAGTGTATATATTCTTTAAGAATTAGGCATGTAAATGCTTAATCACATACCATGTGAAATCCCATTCTTTCACATTTATTTTTTAAATCTGAATAATTTTGTATTGAGTTGTAAAACAAATGAAGCGGTATATTGGTTGTAGAAATTCTGTAAGAATAAAGTTTTTTTTTTAATATTAACATGTACATAATATTTGAAAATCATACAGATAGATTCTTTAAGCATATATCAAGTGATTTTTTTTTCATATGTTAGTTATTATATTGAATAATTTGGATTTGAGATGGTATGTAGCCTACGTTTATAAAAACTGAACCATGTGAAAGCTCATTCTTTGTTTCTTTTTTGACATCACCATCTAATTTTGTATGGATTGTTAAACAGTTAAAAGATGGATACAGACTGGTAACAAAAATAATTTTTTATTCGTAGAATTATTATTTAGTTGCATTTGATAATGAGATTAATAATATAAAGTTGGGTTAGAGAATACGAATTTGAAAAATGTTTTACATGTTTATTGTTGTAGCTAGGTGCAACACAATACAAGCAGAATCTAGAATTGTTGATGTAGAAGTTGTATAAGAATTATCAATGTTAAAACAAGTTGAACAAGAAGAAAAATAAGGAATAATCAAATTCTTCCATTCTTTGATGGTTCTGTGATTTCTCGAGTCTCCACACAAATTGATAGCAAAATATAATTAGCTTAATTTGTAGGATCTCTTGACGCATTTGATACCCATATAGATTATAAATTTTTGAAGAGCAGATCTTAGTTAATTAATTCATTTCCATATATATAGGCTTTTAATTTAGCTAATATTCAACAATTAAAATTTGATTTTGATTACTTCTTTATATTTCGATTTTTTTAATTTGGATAGTAAGTTATTTAATTATAAACTTCCAAATTTGCTCTAATCTAATGAATGGTCCATAATTGACCATACATTCACACAATATATGATGTATATATATGAACCTAACTTTTTCTCTCTTATGCATCAACTTCGGTCCCATATGTTAGATAAGAGCAATATGGGAAAATCATTAAATTAAGATAATCTTCTTAGTGCAGGGACATTTTAGGTATTTTATATTAGTTAATTTGTTATGACAGATAGTATAAGAAGAGGGTAGTGGGCAGGGAGTGGGACATCAATCTTCTTGTGAAATCTGGAATTTATTCCTCTGGTAGATTGGCTATCTCGAATCAGCTAAACTATCTTCATTCTTGTAATCATTTGGTATTATCGAGTGTTTTTCAATCAATATTAGAATCCTTGATTGTTTTATGTTATTGAATCTAGTCTTAGAATCCAGTTCATAACAAATGGTATCAGAGCATTCATCTGGGATTAGGGCTGGAGATAAAGGAAGGAAGGAGGCTGGAGGAGCTCAACTCAAGAGGGTTGAGTTGCTAGAGACAGAATTAGGGCATTTGTACGATCGAATGGAGAATCCAGGGCATCTGATCCAACATACTGCTGACTCCATAGCCTCTCTTCAGCTGAAGATGGAGCAGAAGTTCGAAGAGGTTTTGATGGCAATAGCCAAGAGCCATCCAGAAGAACCAAATGGAAAGAAATCAGTGGGAGAAGAGCACAACAGCGACCCTGTTTTTTCGTGGGTGGAGACAACGAAAGGGACAAACCCTACGGGATTCAGTGGAGGTTCAAGAAATGGAACAGGAGGTGGTTCCGACGGCGGTGGCGGTGGCGGTGGCCATACAACCGGAGGCGAATACAACGGAGGAACCAACTGGAGAATCAAGAAGCTGGAGATACCACTATTTAATGGAAATAATTCGAATGGCTGAGTTCTTGAGGCAGAGAGAAGATTTGTAGATTATCAATTAGCAGAAGTAGAAAAACTGGAGGTTGCGGTAGCGGCACTAGAGGGCTACGCTGCTCTCTGGTATGATGAAGAACACTATCGTCGACCCATTAGAGATTGGGAAGAACTAAAATTCCTAATCCTCCGGCGATTTGGATCCTCAATGTTCGCAGCGGAGTCATGGTGGTCGGACTACCATGGTGGAAGGCAGTCGGAGCACCGATGGAGTCTCAGGGAGACAACAGATCCGTTAGATGACGGACGGGAGAATAGACAGGAAGAAGCGTTTTTAGGGTTTTGCAAAATTGGCCTAAAATTGACAATTGGGCTGAAACTAACACCTTGGGCTTACATAAACCGAATCAGGAAAGCGACTTGTTTAAAGGTAACAGTTTAAATCCAATCCAATCTTATTTAAATCAGTTAATCATGAAGAGAACTTAAACTCACCACGTGAGATTGAATCAAAGATTACCAAATCAATCCCACAATCTGCAACCTTGGCACCGATTCTCACGTACGCATCAACCCTACCCTTGTCAATTTCACCGTTTCCTACCGAGGAGCTACAAGATGGTGATCTAATTCTAAGAGAAAAAAAATGAAATAGCAGGAACAAAATGTCATCGTGCTAAACTTCAAGGTTCAAAGAAAGACAAAGTGATTGGGAAAGGTCCTGTCACTTTTCCTTGGAGTTTACGTGACAATATTAATGACGGAAACGATGTTAATACAATTGCTGAAAATGATGATCAGGAAGAACATAAGTCTCAACATGAAGATAACAACAGTACAGTATCAAGTCCATGGGCACCATTGATGGAGGTGGTGCATACAACTATGTCAGGTGAATGTGTTTATGGTGGTGCAATGGGGATTAAAGCTCTGACATGGATGCAAAACCCACAAGTTAGCTTTGTTAAACTATCTGATCCTGCTTGGTTGAATGATTTTTCTCTAACCAGGCAGGTTCGTTGCAAGGCTACTCTGGATGTAGTTGTTACACTACAAGAAATTATGAGAGTAATTGCTACTAAAGTCCCTGAAGAAATTGATGCAGATTTACATGATGGTAGTTTGTGGTTGCTACGTGACGGTTGTATTGGGTGTTACAAAGAAGAAAATTTTGAGGGAGATGGGAAAGTGCTCGAAAGGATGAAGAAACATGAGGTTCCTATAACCCTTGGAATGTACAATATCAGGATTCAGATCTTGTGTAAGCTTAAAAAGACCATTCTAGCTAGAGCGTTACTCAATGGGCTTATATCAACAAACGTGAAGCCTAATTCAATTACTTACAGTCATTTTATTCATGGATATTGCAAGGAGGGGAAGTTAGTTGTTCTAAAGAGAGCTATGTTTGATCCTTTTGACACAGGCAAGAAGATGCACAACACCAAGTCGCACATGAGAAGGGTGTTTATTATGAACGACTGCAACGAGCGGATGCAAAAATATCTTGGTCCCTTGGGGAATGTTGTGGATTCCTATGACTTACTAGTCAACAGTTCCCATGAAAGGCTACACCGGAACAAGATTCTGCAAGTTATCAAGAAGAAACACATTGAAATGTTCAGCAAGATTGTTGAAAACAAGAAAGATGGAGAAGCTGTGGTGATATCTAATGAGAGGAATTCTGCACCGGGGAGAACTTCTCACTCTGAATTTATGGAGGAGGGTAGCTGTAGTGAGGTTAAAGAATCAAAAGAGAGTCAAGTAGAAGTCATTATACAGTGGAAGGGCAAGCTTATATCGGAAGTTACTTGGGAAGAATTCATAACTCTGCCTTACGTTTTTTCCTTTCACCTTGAGGGCAAGGTGCAACTTTTGGGATGGGGTATTGCTAAGGCTTTAGTCAAGTTTAAGAAGGCTGATGGTTCTAGTTTCCAATATTTACCCCCATGTTTGATTATTCATGAGAATGGCAATACTGATGAAGCTGTTAAGTTGATCATGGGTGCAATGGAACAAATCATGGTAAGGCTGAGGGCAAGAAGAAGAGGCCAATTGAGAGAATTTGGATGGTATACACTATTTGTATCCACCTTAAGGACAAGGTGGTTCTTTTAACGGGTGGGGTATTGTTATGCATCAACTTCGGTCCCATATGTTAGATAAGGGCAATATGGGAAAATCATTAAATAAAGATAATCTTCTTAGTGCAGGGGCATTTTAGGCATTTTATATTAGTTAATTTGTTATGACAGATAGTATAAGAAGAGGGTAGTGGGCAGGGAGTGGGACATCAATCTTCTTGTGAAATCTGGAATTTATTCCTCTGGGAGATTGGCTATCTCGAATCAGCTAAACTATCTTCATTCTTGTAATCATTTGGTATTATCGAGAGTTTTTCAATCAATATTAGAATCCTTGATTGTTTTATGTTATTGAATCTGGTCTTAGAATCCAGTTCATAACACACACACTCACTCACTCTCTCTCTCTCTCTCTCTCTCTCTCTCTCTCTCTATATATATATATATATATATATATATATATAATTAGAAAAGTAGTGAAATGGATATAATAAACAGTTTGGTGCTAGTTATTTACATATTATTTTTGTGTTAATCAAATTTCTACACCGCAAGAAAACCACGTTGCAATGAATAATGCCGTTAAAAGCTTTCGTGATGCTCTAAACTACAAAGTGAACGCCCATAATAATGCATATAAAATTAAAATACATAACAATTTTAGTTATTCATCAAACCGTATAAAAACAACCCATAGCGCATAAAACCGCACCGCATAACACAGTTTGAAACCTTTGCGGTGCGGCCTGTGGTTTCCGAAAATCTCAAACTGCACATGCAATGCGGTTTGCGGTTTTAACTCTAAACCGCACCAAACCACACCGCACACATCCCTAGTATTAATCACAATTTATTTTTCTGAAAATTTGAACAAATGTAAGTGTAAAAATTACCTGCACGTTTTCCGACATTTTTTGGCCCATGGCTTAGCCGTTGGTGTAACCCATACTGATGAAAATGGTCATTGCTTATAGCATTAGTTATGGGTCCGTTGAGGTGGTGTTATAACTGTTGGATTAGTGTCTAAGTCCATAACTATTTTGGTATGTACTTGACCCGATTATGAGCATGATCCTTTTGGGTTGCCTTCACCATAGCAATATATAGGATGAATTAAGGAGAGAAAGGATTAATTATGATTTATTAATATATTATGAGAATAATATATTAAAGGAGAAATTATAATGTTTAATTAATATTAATCAAGAATTAATTAATAATTAATTTTGTGGCTAAAAGAGACTAATTAAACTTGGGGGACTAGAGTTGTAATTAGAAGATAATTACAATTGGGCTATGGATCACCTAATAATATATAGGTTGGACGAATTCTATGGGAAACCCATAAGGAATTCATCCAAGGGATATGTTAAAGGAGTCCATGGGCTTCTTAGGGCCTAAGCAGTCAGATTAGGGTTTCCTAGTTGCAAACCCTAATTGCCTACATGTATATAAAGGACCCTTATGCCCCAAAAACGTGGCTAAGTGTTCCTTAGGGTTTCCAACCGTTTTTTGTGCCTCCCCTCTATTCTCTCTTTCATCCAATTTCTTAGTGGTGTTTGTGACTCCATTAGAGGTGCAACACTTGAGGCACTAATGTGACATCCCCAATTTCACGCCAAGAAAAGACCGATTTAGTTTATGCTTTTATAATAAAATTAGAGTAATCATTTGATTAAAAGTGTTGCGGAATTTGTTCCCAAAATAAAATATGATAAAGATTTATCAAAGCATTTCCGTAGAAATGTATTTCATTAAAAAGACTCGGGATGTCATGTTCGATACATATCAAAAGCATAAACAGTACATTATAAGCCTTGCAATAGTTATTTACAACTACTGGCCTATAATCCAAAAATCCCTCATCGTCATCCAAATTATGCTCTGGCTCCACTACCTCTAAAACATAAAGTTAAGTGGGTCACGCTTGGGAGCCTGGTGAGCATATAGGGTTTTCAACCCACAACAATTAATTTATTAATTACATTGATCAAGAATAAATTTATTAATTTTATCAAACCAACAATAACCCTGATTACCCATTCCCGTTATCCTTACTTTACGTCCCTAAACACCTATACAAGGGACCTTTTCTAAGGATTTTATCACCGGGATGGACTTTACTGCTAAGGGATGGACTTTACTGCTAGCGTTCCACTGGACTGTCTAGAAAAGTCTGTGGTCGTCATCTATACTCCGCTAGATTACTGGAACAACAACAACATCGAGGCCTCTCATCAATTTATCACACACCAACTATTTCATCTACCCATGTTATACCCAACATATTTGTAGATTTTATATATATATATATATATATATATATATATATATATATATATATAGTTTAAATCATTTTAAAACTTGTATAAACATCCATTCAACAACCATCTCAAATAAACAATCAATATATATATATATATATATATATATATATATATATATATATATATATATATATATATATATATATATGTACACACACACATAGCTTCTACCTTAGGCATCGAATCAGCTTGTAACTTCCACCAGTCTTCCCAAGACATCTTGCTAGCTTCACTATAGACTCTGAAACGTTTACATGTTAGTTCTAATATCGTAGTCCTACGCTTAGCATCCTACGCACATAAGGTTTCCAGATCCGGTCGGCAACAGACCATAGATCCGAACAATTAATGGCATATATGGTAAACATATAAAATTTACCACATAAAAGCATTTTAGGCAACTTTCCTAAAATATATTAGTGCTCGTGTCTTAAATATGGTAGACACTTATCTCACAAGCATCACTTAGCATTCTAAGTTTAAGTCTAGAAATCCTACAAATTTATAGTTCGCTTAAACTAATTCTCTGATACCAACTGTGATATCCCCAATTTCACGGCCAGAAAAGATCAATTTAATTTATGCTTTTATAATAAAATCAAAGTAATCCTTTGATTAAAAGTGTTGCGGAATTTGTTCCCAAAATAAAATATGATAAAGATTTATCAAAGCATTTTCGTATAAATGTATTTTATTAAAAAAACTCAGGATGTCATGTTCGATACATATCAAAAGCACAAACAGTAGATTATAAGCCTTACAACAGTTATTTACAACCACAGGCCTATAATCCAAAAATCCCTCATCGTCATCCAAATTATGCTCTGGGTCCACTACCTATAAAACAGAAAGCTGAGTGGGTCAGGCTTGGGAGTCTGGTGAGCATATAGGGTTTTCAACCCACAAATAATAATAAATTTATTAATTACATTGATCAAGAATAAATTTATTAACTTTATCAAACCAACAATAACCCTGATTACTCATTCCCGTTATCCTTACTTTACGTCCCTAAACACCTATACAAGGGACCTTTTATAAGGATTTTATCATCGGGATGGATTTTATTGCTAAGGGGATTCCTCAGCCATAGATGTCCGTAAGGCAACCATGAGGGGGATGGAGTACACCGGTGAACATCAAGCCCACAAACACCTACAGGTTGCAAGCCTGCTAGCGTTCCACTGGACTGTCTAGAAAAGTCTGTGGTCGTCATCCATACTCCGCTAGATGACTGGAACAACAACAACATCGAGGCCTCTCATCAATTTATCACATACCAACTATTTCATCTACTAATGTTATACCCAACATATTTGTAGATTATATGTGACAACCGTCAAATTTCGGTTAAGTCAAAGTCAACTAAAGTCAGCAAGTCAAACCGTTTGACTCAATTTGCCCATGAGTACTAAAATTCACATTATGAAACTTCTACATAACTCTCTATGCTAATGAGAAATCATAAAGCAAAAAGTGCGAACATCTAGATCTCCTTAACCTAAAACTGTGCTACGTGGCGAGCCAAACCGATAAAACAATGTTGCATACTCATCGGGAGTGTGTAAGATCCTAAAACAAGGCTTAACAGGGTTTACAAACCTTGCCTTGCGAAGCTAGACACTCACAAATGCCACACTCGAAACCTCTCTCAATCGTTATCACTCTACCTCTCTCTATTTGAAATCTCTCTAAGTATGTGAAACCTCTCCCAAAACTCTTTTTGTATGAGAAATCTCTATAAGTATGTTAAATCTCTCCCAAATCTCTCTAAGTATGTGAAACTTCTCCCAAAACTCTCTTTGTATGAGAAATCTCTATAAGTATGTTAAATCTCTCCCAAGTCTCTCTAAGTATGTGAAATCTCTCCCAAATCTCTCCAAGTATGTGAAATCTCTCTCGAATATCTCTCTGTATGACAAATCTCTCCAAATATGTGAAACCTCTCTCAAATATCTCTTTGTATGAGAAATCTCTCCAAGAATGTCAAATCTCTCCCAAATCTCTCCAAGTATGTGAAATCTCTCCCAAATCTCTCTCAAAAGCTTCCCGTAACTTTTTAGAATCATTCGGGTCATTCCGACCCTTAACCGGGTCAAAAACGGCTTAAAACGGGATAAAAACGATAAAAATGGACCTTAGGAACCGAAACCCTCTTATAAGAGGCGAAGTTCCTTAGGACCCGAAGGTCCTCTTAGGGACCGAAAGTGAGAGGACCGAACCCGAGCCAGGAGGAACCGAACCCAAGAAAAGGAGAAACCGAACCCAAGAAAAGGAGGAACCGAAAGTACTGTTCACCCGAACCGAAGGTACTGTTCACCCGAACCGAAGGTACTGTTCACCCGACCGAAACCTCTTGAGCCGAACCGAAACCTCCTGAGCCGAACCGAAGGTACTGTTCACCCGAACCGAAAGTACTGTTCACCCGACCGAAACCTCTTGAGCCGAACCGAAACCTCCTGAGCCGAACCGAAAGTACTGTTCACCAAACGAACCGAAGGTACTGTTCACTACAGTCCGTTCGGTTCGCACGTTCTCGCCTCTTATTCCCGAACCGAACCCCCGCCTTCTCTCGCTTCTCGCTCTGTCTCTTCGCGCCCTCTGTTCTCTCCTCCCTCTCTCGGTTCCTACCCTCTCCCTTCTCCCCTCTCGGTTCCTTCCCTTCTCTCTTCTTCTTCTCTCGGTTTCTGCCTCCCTCTCTCTCGGT